AGAGGTAATGCAGGAAAATTGTTTCAGGTTGAAACTATTAGACACTTAGGAACTGTGATTGAATCCATTTGTATGTTTCAGATGTGTTACAGGTGTGGTAGTGGAGCAATATCAAACAAAACACCAGGCAAACTCCAAAGTGTAAAAGCACTGAAGCCGTTTCATGCACTTTCCTCTATTGGGGTTGCAACAGATAACCGAAACAAGCATGATTTTAATTTTAGCCTTAATGCCATTAGGACAACTGTATCAGCCTGTCCTAATGCATTTGATTTGCTAATTATCAGTTGTATTTTATGTAAGGTTTGTCCTTTCTCACTCTGCAAGGTCGTTTCAATGCTTACAGATTGAAAGCAATAAACAGCTTGTTCATTGCTTAAAAGAAAGTCGGATGTCTCTCCATGGAAACCAGGGTTCATAGAAATCCTGTGAATACCAGAGAATTTTCTTTTCCTGCTTACCAGTAAGTGAGAAGTAGAACTGCAGACTGTGCAAGTCTTTATGCAAATGATGCTGCTTGTTTACCTCCCTCCCCCAAATTATTGATTTATGGTCTGGCTGCCAATCAAGTGATAAGTAGGGATTTAGTTAAATGACTTATTACCCACTGATGGAGCATGAGGCTACAGGTAAATCATATTTAACTGTTCAAAGACTTACAAACTCTTTAAAACCTTAAAATACAACCTTAAGCTGAAGTGTTGCCTCATGTTGTCATTGGCCACTGCAAAAATAGATAAACCATTCAAACTTCGGTAACTTTGGGAGTAGTGCAATCTCTTACTGATGATCAGAAGTTCTAGGGTCAGAAGCCTCATTCTGGACTGTAGAAATAGTGTCACCCCCTGCTTCAGGAAGACCTGCAGAACCTTTTGCTTGCGGCTTTTTAAGTTGATACTGCCGTTTATTTGAGCATTGTTTAAGGAGTAGGGATTTCATCAGTGTTCCCTGCCTTCTCCTTGTTTTGTTAGGAACAAGCACTGTAGTATGAGTGATCCTCCTCCAGTGACACAGAATGCATTCTGTTGCTTGGCTTTGGTCTACCAAACTGAAAACCCCTCGTGTTGCACAGTTCCTAAGGGGGTCAGTGGTGCCTTTGCTGTCCTACAGAAAAGGTTATGGGTAGGCTTCAGTCAGTTAAGGTTTGTTTTGGAGCAGTGTTTGCAGCTTAAATTCTTCTTAGTGTAGATATTAGCTAAGTAAAATGCAACTAGAATTAATTAACTTAGCAGCTTGAACATCAAACCAGCCGCTTCAGATGTGTCCTATGATCCAGTGCCTTGGTGTGTTGCAGCGCTGTTGCTGCGAAGAGCAACTTGTGAAATTTCAGATGTGGTTCTTCTTTAGGCCATACCGAAAACTGACTATAAAAAGAGCAGTTGAGGAACTGAAGAAACTATTGAGGAACTTGAGAGTTTTAGATTGATCTTTTCACCCCATCCACTTGAAGAAAACTTGCTGCTTTTGGTGCAAAATTAATGAGTCTTCTGTAATTAAACAATGTTCAAGAGATTAGTTACTGGGGTTTGGCAGTTGTCTTCTCAGGCTTCACTGAATAACTTCCCGGTCTCTTTTCTGCCTGGTGTGAGTGGGAAAGGCTTCTTTATAGCGAGGTGATAAAAAGTGTGGATGAAGGACTTCAGGAGGAAAATATATTGAAAGTAGTAAGACTTAGGAAAGGCTGAGAAAAGGAGCAAAAAAGAAAGAGGTGAATGGAAGAAGAGAAGTCTCTGTGTTGGGGGGATGTGACTGAAGAAGCTGGAAGGTGAGAGTAAACTTAGTCAGTAAAATCTTGTCATGTTTTACTCATAAAAAGTAGTATCCAGTAGAGCCGTGCATGGAAGGGTACACAGATCCCTACTCACACTAAGCGTTTCTGGTAACTACCGGTGGTGTTCAGTGCTGCAGAAGTTGCATACCACTGCCCTCTAGATCTGAGTGACAGAGTGTCGCAGTGCTGGTTGAGCCCTGCCTATAGCAGTCACTGCAGGGCTGCTTGAATCAGTATTTCTAAAACCATTTCCCTTTCTCCTCAATGCTGGTCAGTAAAAGTGTTTGTTCCATGTCGCTGCTCTGGTTTTTGGTGTGTGTGTTTTGGTTTGGTTTTTTTTTTTTTTTTAATCGCAGCTGACAGGGGTTTTCCAGAAAAATGAACAATTCAAAAGATAAGTAGTTACCTCGGTGCTTATTTATCTCAAAGCATTTTTAATCTGTGTTTACTGGGTGTAGTTCATAGCTGCATTGTATAAGAGTATACACTCTACACCAAAGTATAGCCATCTACCTTAAGGAGAATGAAAACAATCCTGTACCAGTGAAGACACGCAGCCTGTATTTCTAATTAAAAATACCTTCATTCTGAATGCCACTGCTTTAAATGGAACTTGACTAGTTCACACCCTTCACAGAAAGAAAAGAGCTGTTTGGAATTGCACTGACAGTTACTCAGAAGCTTCGATGTCTCCTGTAAGAGACTGCGTCAGCAGTAGCACTGGTGCCACAAAGCTAGGTCAAGGCTTCAGCTGAACTGTTCTTTGCCACAACCTGATTTCCACTCTTACATATGGTGTGCAGTCTTGTTTAAGCTGTGAGATGCTAGGGATGTAAGGCAAAAGATTAAATTACCTTTCATGGCTTCATAATAAGACAGTTATCAATTATGTAATGTGATATGCAATAAATAACATCTTCAGATGATTATTCAAATTACTTTCTTCCAACTGTGTTCTGCAGTGCTAGTTTTCATGGCCCCATAAGGGTATATTTAATTATTTTGTACTGAGAAGTACACTGCAGCTTGATGTTACTGTGTGAATTGTGAGTCTCTAGTTACTTTCTGTGCATTTCTTTGTCCCTTGTAGGTGTATCCAGATGAGTCTCATCCCAGGTTTGTCTCCTCAAATGGTGTTGATGGCTGTATTAGTTTTCTCTTGACAATAACTAAATTGTGAAGATGCTTTTTAAGATATTTACACTTTATTAACCTATTGATTGACATGCTTAATCTGCAGTATTTTGCATTGTGATTTGGTTTTGAGGTGACTTGCATCTTCTCTTGACAAATGAAAACAATATCTGCTAATGTGGACAACCTCACAGTTAGAGCTGATTGTGGGCAGTTCTTGCCTAGATTGTCCAATGTCCTGATGGTACCAAGTTCCAGGGGGATTTTGAAATTCATGAGCTCTTTGAATTTTAAGTTCTAGGTAGTGTTTCTAAATTTCTTAAGGACAGGAGCAATATTTTCTTGCATCACCTCTGGAATAAACTCCGTTGAGATACTGCAAGAAAGATTGAATTTCACTTTGTTTTGAAGTAAGAACATGCTCATAATTCACTGAGGTTTTTAAGTGGCTAAAGGCAGTCTCAGACATCCCTTGCCAAAAAATTGCTGATGTGGAAGTGTTTGCTGAGCAAATACTACTGCATGCTTCTGTGTGTATATATATATTTCATTTTTCTCTCTCTGCTTTTCTCAAAGCTGCTGTCTTGGATGCTTGTTGTGCTTGTTTGGGGCTGTGAGGGGTATCTTCTGGAGGAACGTGGGTAATAGCTTGAGTAAGGCTTCCTCGTCTGTCTCAGCTCTGAGAGTCTGTTTGATCTTACCTGGTGCTGCTGTTCCTGCAGTGTAGATAATGCGATGGTTTGATGGCGTAATACCATGGTGGTGAAGCTCTTAAAACAGTTGCCAGAAGATCTACTGCAGAGCTTTAGAAAGCAAAGGCTTAGAAATAGGTCAACAGCAAAGCTCCAGTGGAACTATAATAAACGTTGTGGGCTCTGGCTGAGAAAGAAGTTTCCCAGTTGTTATCTTATCTTGCAATTATGCAAGTCGGTCTTGCTGTGTGTATTTGTGTGCATTCTTTCTTCTTTTGTCTTTGAAACCTCATATCCTGGTTTAATATGTTGTGGTTTTTTTTTTTTTTTTTTACTGTTTAAATTGCCAGACCCCAGTCACTTTTTTCTTCTGTTATATATGCTCACTCATTTCTCTCTATCTACTAAATTTAATTTTCATCTTTCCCTTTGTGATTCCTGCACCAACATGATGCAGGATTGTCGCAGGAGCAGAGGATCAACGAAGTAACTTCAGGAGATGCCTTTTGTGTCTCTGAGTGTCAGTGCTTCCTGCGTGTCAGTTTTCTGTCTGAAACATCATTTCTATTGAGACAGATATTTTGGCTATCTTTTGGAGCAAAGTTTCAATCTCTTTCTATGTGCAAACATCTAAGTACTAATTTATAGTTTAATTCTTGCTTCTGTAAGTTATTTCTAGCCCTGGCTGTCTGAAGCTGTGTTTTTCTATTGCTTGGAAAACTCTGATGCTTATATTGGTGCTGCAAGCAATACCACTGTGGTGATGTTAAGTGTTGCTTTTATGCTGTATAACAGTAGCCTTATTGGCATATATATTTAAAATATATGTATATATAATTGCCTATGCTGATTGCTGGTACCATAGTAACTACAGTAAAAATATTTGAGGATGAAAGGCTGAGCATATTGTGTCAGTGTAGAAGTTGGGCAAAGATACTGGTAAAGGTAGTGATCGGGGTGGTCAGGGTCAAAGGGGAGAGGGATCAGGAATACTGACCATGCATATAATGCAGATTTATATTCTGATTTCTAAAGAACAGATGTATTCTACACAAGTCCTTAGGGAATGCCTGTGTGCATATTGCTCAGCTCATTGCATTTGTTCAATTCCTCTGCGTTACTGGTCATAAATGGGGGGGAAGGGGATTCCTTGTGAGCAGGAAGCAGATGGGTTTTATCTCAGGCCAAACTTAGACTTGATTTTTGTGGTGAAACGTCTGTAAAATCAATGTACTGAGGACAATGAAGCATCCCTGGAAAACTGTGGAATGCATAAGTCTGGAATTCAGGCAGGAGTAGATAAAATCTACCTTGTTTTTTCAGGTCTGAAAATAAACACTAATAATTTGTTTGGGTTGGTTTTTTTTTTTAATCTGAGTATTTTACCTTTTGCCATTTTAAAGCTTTCCTACAGTTGGAGAAAAAAGAACAAAAACTAACCATCGATCAGCCCTCTAAAGGAATAAGGAAAAATTATTCTTTCACAAACGAAGAAGTAAGACGGATTGACCGGGAAAACCAAAGGTTGCTGAAAGAACTATCCAGGCAGTCTGCAAAGCCAAGAAGAAGTACCACGTTGAAGAAGTCAGCTGTACCGCCTCCAAAATTGTACCACAGTGCCCTCAACAGGCAAAAGGAGCAGCAAAGAATTGAAAGGGAAAACCTGGTAAGTTTTGAATGAACTACTGCTAAGTACTTAAAAAAAACAGGTAAGGCAGCACTTGGAGCTTTACCGCAGTGAGTCTGCAATGAATGTCCATTGCTATGCTGTTTGCATGATTGTTCATCCTTTGTGGGGAGGGGAATGAGGCTTTTTTCAGATGAAAATAGATTTTACTTTGAGCTTGCTCTACTCCAGTATCATTCATTTTAAGAGCAACAATCATTATTGTTAACATGCTTATTACTTTGGACAGTAGTCCACAGCCTGCTTCGTGCATCATGATTACTAGTCTCTCAAGAACAGGCTTGCAGAAACGAAAGCAATCTATATGATGGCATCAAACCCATTATATTTGAAATGGAGGCTGTGTCGTTCTTATGACATATGAATGTCAATTTTAGTTTTTTTAGACTAATTTCATAGATAACCCTCTCTTTCAATGTTTGTAGCGCTCTGCTTGTCGAAGTATTTGAATAATGGCAATCACAATAACTTTAGTGGAAGACAAATTCAGACTTAAGGATATTGTCAGAGTTGTCAAATAACAAAAATAATACTGGTTTGAATAAGATATTTTAAGTGATTGAAGTGTAGTACAAATAATGACATTTTCATATCTCCTAGTTATTCATTAGTGTGTTTGAAAAGGAGATAAAATATCGTTAAAATATTTGCAAAATTTATAGTGGAATTAATTTATTCACTTTGTTCTTCTGTGTAAGTGTAGGTTAGAATTTCCTTTGTGCACATAGACTTTCTCCATGCTAAATCTGTATCTCTATTTGACCAATTCGGGAAAATCCATTAGGTTTTAGCTCTTCCAACTTTCAAATATCTAGATTCTTAAAACTTTTCCAAGTAGGAAACTTTTTCCCCAGATCCACTAGGTTACAGTTGACCAGAAGAACATTATACTTCACAGTATATATTCCACAGCATTTGGCATAAATGCTTGTTACAGACCTGTGATACTTCTCATTGCCACGGGAAGAAATGTTTTCAGGATTTGGTGGTTCAAGTTGGTAGGAGGGCTTTCTTCATGTGCTGTGGGCTGGGGTTTTTTGGTTTATCTCAAATGTTGAAGGCAGGACTCGCTCTTCCACGTGAACCTTGATAGGTATTCTTAGGCTGTGGGAAGGAAGTGCTGTGTCAGTCACTTAGGATCTAATTGCAGTGTGCTGTAACAATAGATGATTCCTGTAACATGAATGTATATGATATTTTACAACACATTTCTGTTTACCCAAAGCCGTGAACCTTTTCTCTTTTAACACATGGCAGTGTTTTGTCCAAGAATGTCTTGTCTTTGCAGCCTTTGGATCAAAAATCCATCAAAGCTGAACACACATAGTCACTTTGCATGTGGCAGTTTTAGTACATGTTAGAGATGAACGGTGGTTGCTTGTAGCCTAAGAAGTCATGCCTTTCATCTACTTACTCATTTATGCTTTAGTTGTCAGCTCATGTTGCTGACGACAACATGTTTGACATCAGAGTCATTCCTTAGGATTTACATTTGGACGTCATGCTATTTTAGACTACAGAAATACTTGGTTTATTCTTTCCCCCAAACTCAGGATGATACATTCTGCTCTTCTTTCCGGAAGAGTGATTCATCAGTACAGCTCTTCTGTTTTGTTTAACACTGCTATCATTTTGGGGCAATTTCTAGTTCTATTCTGTTTGAAGTGCGTGTGCACCTCAAACATCCCAGTTGTAATGTATTGATTTTTCTAGCACTACCTTTTGTGATTACAAGTATGACACGCTTTTCTCAGAGGCTGTAAATGAAAGAGCTGCCCTACCCTGCCCATTGATGAGGGTTTTTGCTTTATATACCTAAAAGTATGTGCTTTATGAACCTGTTGTTTTCTTCTGGTCAGCAGCTTTATTCACCGTTATAGATTGAAGAGCTGGAATTCCATGGAACTTCCTTATCAATTTTTCTTCTGTTACTTGGTGGGAGTTTTTTTCCTTATACAAGGCCTGAGGTACTGCATACAGGATATGCTGCTTGATACACCTTTGTGAAATGTTTGTTGGAGAAGGAGGCAGGGGTTTGTAAATAATTCAAGAATAGGAATCTACTGCAGTAGTCTGTACAGGTGGTCAAAGAGTTTTGATGCAGGGTTTTCTTTTGTTTGGTTGTGGGGTTTTTTTCCCTCTTGGCTTACAGCTTTTATAATTTCATGTCCTGAGGCTTACGTCTTGTCTAGGGAAAACTTTCACTTGTTCCTGTTCACTGTGTTGACTGTTATCAGAAAGAAACCTTGATTTCTGGTGCAGGTATTTGGCATCAGAGGTGATGCAGGGAGAGTAATTCAAATATTAAGAAGCTAGAGGAATCTAAACTTTTGGTGCTCTCTAGCTTTGTGAAAGGGTGCAAGGAGTTAACAGGGAACATATGCTGCCCTCACAGGCTCTGCTAGAAAGACCTGTGATGGAATAGAAAAGGTGCCTTGCACTGAAGAACAGTAGTTACAACGTAGTGATTAGGAACTTCAGAAGAAAGCACAGTTAACAAAATAGGTCGCTGTTAAAACTCATGTCAGAATTTTGTACTTGCCACTTTTGACTGTGCTCTTTAAGTAGAGCCTGCTTTTGGTTGTTCATCTGAACTCACCAGCCCAGAGTGCATCTCTTGCCGATAGAGAATGCTGCTGATTCAGAAAACATTCTACTCTTCTATTGAAGGATACTCCTAACCCCATCTCCTCTCCAGTGGAAAGGGACATAAGTGTAACTGATGTGTTACTGTTCTCCCATATCTGCATATATGTGTCTCTACCTGTACTGACATATTACTTATACTGGCAGAAATAGTAATTAAGGTATAGAACTTCATAGATGAGAAACTACACCCCATTTAAACTTTTAATGGTTAATTGAGTGATGCAAAAATCTATGCTGGTGTGTACAGGTTAGTATTTGGGGACCTTGAAATACAGATTTGCAGCCACCACACCATTCTTCAGTCACTTAATCTAAACCTAGAAGTAATTCATATCTGTGTGTTTGCGTTTTTGTTGTTTGGGTGTTGGGTTTTTTAATCTTGACTAGAATTTTGGTGTTGGATGACGTTTGAGCTAAGCTGCTGTGTTCAGCCAAGATCCTAGGGAACAAGTGGCCTTGTAAGTTCACACTGGAAGAGCTCAGCAGGTGTCGGACAGCAGTTCTCAAACCTCAGGGGGATGAGGGTGTTCTCCTTTTCTGTGGATATTTGGTCTTTCCATGCATCCCTACGTGTTATTCCTACCCCATGCCATTATGACTCACTGCACGTAACACTCCATGTTGTTAATTCTTCTACCTCATACTCCCTCAAAATGTACCCTAAGCCCCAACAGATCTAACTCTGATTCCAGCTCCTGTATAGTCACCCTCCCACACAAATTTAAAAAAAAAAGAAATTCCCTTACTGTATTTTTCAGCAAGGGCTCTCTCTCTTTCTCTTCTTCCCACCATGGTTCCCTGAGCTGTCTGTGCTGCAGATGTCATTAATGCTTCTCCCCACCTCTTAGAATCACAGAATGGTTTGGGTTGGAAGGGACCTTAAAGACCGTCCAGTTCCAACCCCCTGCCATGGGCAGGGACACCTTCCACTAGACCACGTTGCTCCAAGCCTCATCCAGCCTGGCCTTGAACACTTCCAGGGATGGGGCATCCACAGCTTCTCTGGGCAACCTGTCCCAGTGCCTCTCCACCCTCTCCAGGAAGAACTTCCTGATATCCAATCTAGACCTCCCCACTTTCAATTTAAACCCGTTCCCCCTTGTCCTGTCACTACAGGCCCTTGTAAAAAGTCCCCCCCAGCTTCCTTGTAGCCCCTTCAGGCACTGGAAGGGGCTCTAAGGTCTCCCCGGAGCCTTCTCTTCTCCAGGCTGAACAAGCCCAACTCCCCCAGCCTGTCCCCATGGCAGAGGTCATAGAGATGACTTGCTCTAGTCATCATGGCCTATACCAGTACAGAGATCCTTCAGCCAAACTGTTGCCCTTCTCTTGCAGCCTGGACTGCCTTTGTCCTGCTGGGAAACCGGAACCTCCCTTAGAAATTCAAGTGCTGCTATAAATGAATGTATAATTTGTTTGTCTCTGCTCGATTTAGCGGTGCTGTGGGGAGAAAAGGGCAGGGGAGGGGATAAAAACTGCTTAATTGGCAGATTCAAGGGAAGTTTTGATTATTTTGCATAATGCTCAGTTTTGTGGGATTTTTTTAGTACTCTTAGCCTGCTTTCCTTGTGGTGATGGCAGCCACACGTAAACTTGAGAGCTGTTAAGAGGACTTTCTGTAGATTGAAGAACTTCAAGAGTGTTTTGTCAGGTTAGAGCTAATTAATGGAAGTTGCAGTCAAAGGAAATTTATAGGTACTTGTATTGATAAGAACAGAAAGCTGTCCTTGAATGCACTGTTGTCAGCTTCCCCCTCCCCCACCTGGATCCTGCAAAAGGACAGTGTGGTCACTAACATCAGTGACATTAGAGGAGGCATAATATAAATAAATTGGAACAGCTGTTAAGGCACACTAGTCAGCTGGGTAGGATTCAAAGGGGGTGAAACTGAAGCCTTAATGCATTTAAAAAGCAAAGTAAACCACGAAAAAGTAACGCTTGGTACCCTCTCTCTGCTCCCCGTTTAGGAGTGCTGTGTTTTCAGCGCATTTTTCTTCCTTTTTCAACACAGCTGCAGAAAAGTGTGTCCTGATTTTTTTTTTTTTCCTTTCCTTTTTCTGACAGGGACTATTAGAATTTGCTTTAGTGCTCTCCTGATATGGCCAGAATTGAATTAGCAGCATTTATCTTGGCCCACTGTGTAGCAGCGATCGTTTGACACAGTGTCGAGTTCCTTTGTTCTCCAGTTGATGACAACCTGATGTTTCCTTCTGTCATTGACAGTATGTACTTTAGTGTCTTTATAGACATTAGTCTATGTCCAGATGCCTAGATTTCTAAACACTCATCCCAATCATAGAATCACAGCATGGTTTGGGTTGCAAGGGACCTTAAAGATCGTCCAGTTCCAACCCCTCTGCCATGGGCAGGGACACCTTCCACTAGACCAGGTTGCTCAAAGCCTCATCCAGCCTGCCCTTGAACACTTCCAGGGATGGGGCATCCACAGCTTCCCTGGGCAACCTGTTCCAGTGCCTCACCACCTTCTCCGGGAAGGATTTCTTCCTGATATCCAATCTAAACCTCCCCACTTTCAATTTAAACCAATTCCCCCTTGTCCTGTCACTACAGGCCCTTGTCAAAAGTCCCCCCCAGCTTCCTTGTAGGCCTCTTCAGGTAAGCTGAGGGGACTTTTTACACTCCTAGAAGTCCATGCAGGAACACCTGTGATTATTTTTTTTTAATATATTATTATTCTACTTTTATTGTAAACTCTGTATTGTATTAAAGAAGATAGGGGAAATAGAATCCTGGGGAGGCTTTTGCCAAGCTGGGGGGTCATCTATGATACGATATTATATATGTATTGAGTTTGAATCAAGAGCTCTGAGGAGCTACAGTGCAGTTTAGAGCAATTAATGACATTCCTGCCATTAGTGTTCGTTATTTGTTTATTTATTTATTTATTCCTTAAACCTGATCAAGAACATATATTTAGTTCTGAACACCTGGATTTTGGTATGGGATCTGATTGTTTGGTCATTAAGATCAGTGATAAAATTTCTGTTTACCTTAGTGGTGCAGTATAAAGGCTGCAGACAATTAGCACCTCAAAAGATCAGGGCAAGTGGCAGTGTTCTCCAGTCTGTTTCTCAAAAGGAGAACATAATGGAAGAAATAAGAGATTTATAGATATAACTGAAAAAGAGCATTTGTCCAAGGTACTTGTACCAGTGTACAAGGTAGCTCCTCAGTTAAGGACCTCAAGTTTGTAGGGTTGGTAATAAAACCATGAGAATCGGATTAGTTCCGGGTCACAGATTAGTAGGTCAGGACTGCCATCTCTGTGCGTTGATGAGTTCATTTCTGTACGCAGCAGGCTGTTCTCCAAAGTGCAAAATTCATGACCGCAAGTAGCGTCTAAGTTAACGTGCCCTTGGTACAATTCGCAGCAGAGGGCAAGGGAGCCACAGGAACTGTTCTCTCAATCCCTGCAGGAGCTTTTCTTAGAACACTTCTGCACCACGGAATCTGTGTCTGCCCTTTCCATAGCTCAGGGCTGTATCGGGTCCAGTGTTAACCCATTCAAAAAGTAGTATTTTGGTACTGAGGGAGGTCCCTTTTTTTGCTTTAGTAATGGGGACTTGATACGTGTCAAAATACAGGCATAAGAGCAAAAGCAGAGAATTTTATCTGAACGAGAATAAAGCAGATTTATATATAAAATACTGCATTTTCAGACTCAAGCTTGAAATTTCTGCAGTGTGAAAGCATGCACGTTCTCTGGGGCGTTTACAGTCGGAGTGCAGGCTCGAAACACACTCGACTCTCATAGGGAAGTCGCTCCTACAGTTTACCTGATCCATTTGTGCTGGAACTGAATATATTGAAAGCTTCCATTTTTAATATGGAAGGTAAATAAGTGATCTCTGCAAGTCTAACTGTACGTAGCTGTATTAGGAGATGCGGATGAAGCCGGGAGTAGAACGCTGGATGTAACACTTACAGACGAGTCTACCGGTTCGTGTTCTGCAGCTGGCTTTATGAAGAGCTATTTCTAGCTGAAGTCCTTCCTTTGACTTTTGCTTACTTAGGTATTTCCACTTGACGATGGACTGACTGGCACTGGATGCAAGCGCTTGTGACATGTTACAGCTGAGCCAAAACCACTTGTCCTTTCTCTTGTGCGCTCTGCAGGTTTCCAGTGCCCATGCATAAACTACCAAGAGTTTGTAGATTCCTGTTACAGCTAGGCAATGACAACAGACATCCTGTGAATACTATACTGTTTCCTAAGTCACCTTCTCTAATTTTTTATCATTATTCTAATACAAATATAATCTAATCAGTTCCTGATTGTATGAAATAATCATTCTTCCTCCACTCCCAAAGTGCAGTTTAATGGCTATACAGACAGATTCTTGACTTCTGCCATATAAGTATGCATCTAGACAATACATCCTTATTATCAGAGGTATTTTTAGTACTTTGGAGACTTGTGTAATTGCAGTTTGCGCTGTCTCTCATAGGATGCATGTCATAACCCTGACCAGCGACGGTTGGGTCATTGCCAGATGTTTGTAGGCTGTCAAATGAATTAGTTATGGAGGGAGTATATAGATCTAGGCAAGGCAAGCACTGGAAGGCAAAATATATTAAAAATGTGAAGTTGTTAATTGGAAGTTGCATGTAGCTGGGTACTGCCGAATTTGTCCTGCCATCAGGTTCTATTTTAGAATCTGGAAATTTCTTAAACCAATAAACCCTGTTTCAAGTAGAAGTAGTTATGCACAACGGGACACTACCTGTATCTTACAAGTACTATATAAGTAACTGTTCTCATTTAATGCTTGCTATGTGATTGCCAGGGTTAATTTCAACAAGAGGAAACAATATCTATAGCAATTTCAACTAGAATCACGCAAAATTACAGTATGGATAAAACAAATAGCAAACACATCAATGGGATGTTTTCTTTGTGACCTAACTTTCACAGACTTGAGGTCTGTAATTTTCTCTGGGGATCCTGTAGGGCAATGTAGAATGGTCTAGGTATGTTTGCAAAGCAAAGAATAAAAAAAAAACCCAAACCCAATGCCTCATTGTTCTGGAAATTTAGAAGAGAGGAGTAACCAAAGGTAGGAGTGCAGCCCATCTTCCCATCACCTTTACTGTCACCAAACAGATGTGTTGTTTCAAGTTACCATAAAGTACGGAGAACTATGGGGTACTCAAGATGTACTCAACACAGAACTGATGATATGTATGGGATAGTTGCTCTTTGTGTCATCTTGCAACACTGAGAGAAGAACTGCATGTGAGCAGAATCACCTACGCTGGTCACCAGTGAAGCAGTTTGTGTTATGCAGTGATAAAAAATTGGGGGGTTTTTTGCAGTTCAAATAAAAATCAGTGTGTTTTTTAGCTTCAGTTTTTTTAGCTTCTTGTTCATTATTTCTTGTTCTTGATGATATCTTTCTTCTAAACTAAGGCTTTCCTGAAAAGACTGGAAGCAGTGAAACCGACAGCTGGTATGAGGCGTTCTGAACAACTGATGGACTATCAGCGCCAGATGAGTTATCTAAGTTCTTCACCTTCTGTAAGAAGAGGAAAATCTGCTTTCAGCCAGCTGAGTCCCTCGAGTAAGTGCTTCGGAGTTGCTCATTCTTGCATTCCTTTGCATGTGTTTATCTTTTTATAATTCAGAATTGTGAAGCACTTACCATCCTAAATTTTTAATAAGTTATCTCGTTAATAATTTTTTCCAAGAAGGTCAAAAAAAAATCCCTGTTGTAAGGAAGTATTTCTCATTTTGACAGTAACCTTTATTGAAAGAAGAAAAGAAGAGACAGGCAAACAAAAACCCTGAAGAAGGTTCAAATTCTCATTCATAAAATGTAAATCTACTGATAGTAGCCTTGTTTCTCTTAGGAATTGTGTGTGTAATATTGGAAAGTAGATCCTGTGTCCCCATAGTGCCATACATGTCAGGTTAAAAGAACCACAGCAGTATGGCATCGCCTTGAATTCTTTGTCCTGACCATTTACAAACAACTCAATGTTTTGGGTTTGTATTAAACTTGCTGTAAATTTGGATGGGTTTTTTTTCTGAAAACTGTGATAACGAGTGTTGCAGTACTAATATAACGTGACGTTTTCTGTTGTGTAAGCGTTCTCACTCTTGTGTGTGTGTGTTAACAGGAGGCACTTCAAGAGCATCCGCTGTACCAAGTACAGTGAGCCAGAGGAACGAAAAACCCGTGTGCGATTCAGCCAGTGGGGCGTTACAGAGACCTAAACCCACTAACGTTCGTGCTGCTTGGTTATAAGTGCGTTCTTTGCCTTGCATTCTGAAACGATCCCCAGACTTCTATTTTTAGTGCTTTTGTAAATTCTCTGTGCAAAGTATTTTCTGCATTGTTCAGTGATTAAAGTGCATTGCATCTGGTATAATTGCTTCTCAAATGGTTTTGAGTGAAGACTTTCACTTCAGTCAGTGTTTTCCATGACAGGAACAACTTATGAAAGAGAGAGAGGTATTTAAATAGGTAAGTTAAATTGTAACTCTCAAAACGTAAGTGGAATTTGTGTCCGTAACACGAAAGGACAGAATTGCTGCACTATAGACACAAGATGTAATAAAAATCTTAAAAATAATATTTTAATATATTGCATTAAGTTCATAAGCATATTCCTAATTCCTAGACCATCCTTGCTTTTCATCCCAGCTTTAGGTAAGACTTCTGACCTTCGTGGGTCATGTTCTTAGGACTGAAAGAATCTTTGACCAGCAGCACGAAAGGGTGGAAAGCAGATGGTGTGTTTCTGCCCGCTTACCGAGAATGCTGAGGCTGCAGAAGATGTTCTGCCACTCTTGCACTGCGGGTGTGGAACTTCTGTTTTGTACCCGAGGCTGTGTCTCTTCCAGATTTAAAAGAATTTTGGAAGTTGCATGGGGACCGTTGTGTAGGAAAGAAGCACCTGACGCTATTTGAGTAAGAGTAGACCCTGAAGAGAACAACAATGTCAGATTCATGCGGAACACGAGTGAGTTCTAGTTACTTCTCAAGCTAGAGAACACTAAGCAAGGGAAATATTTCATGGCCGTGCTTTTGCAGGTCCTGGCCCTTCTCGGTGGGGAGATTCAAACTCGAGCTGCAGCTAAGTTTAACATCTCATTTTGAGAGTGACTACTAACCAAGAGTAAAGAGAAAATCTTGTTATGCTTCCTAACCTGTTTTTTACTGTCGCCTTCACACCGAATATTTGTAGCAGTGTCAGATAAGCTTCCATCCATTTACCAGGGGACCAGAATTTAATGGAATTGGTCATTGCAAATAGTAGGTGGTAGGCTTTATTTCTATACATAAAGGTGACCTTTCAGTGAGCTTATTTTGCAGGACTGTAGTTATAAAGAGCATAAATTTTGCTGCCACTCTCCATGGATATTGCTGGAACCCTGCTTGCTTCCCCAGCTTTTTCCTAGGAGAGATACAGGAAATATGTGTTATGCATAGAGACAAAACACCAGCTGCTGGCTTCCCTGTGAAAAGGGAAGTTTGTTCTTCTTTGCTTGTGCTTGGATGAGGATTTAGGCTTTCAGGTATTCTGCGGTGTAACAAACTTTTTACTTGGTCCTGTGTGATAGTTTGGCAGAGCTTCTGCACCTGGTGCCCTGCGGGTCAAATCTAGCTGTTTGACAATATTTGAACTTTTAAGCAGCATTGTGGCAAACGGATTTTTATTGCAATTGTTATTCATTGATAGGGTCTAAGGATTTTTTGGCATAGTGCTGCTGTATTTATTTGTACTGTTGTGCTAATTGAAATTATTCACTATTTAAAGATTTTTGTCCTTGAGTGTGAATACTGGGGTCACAGTTTAAATACTTTGAATGTTCTTTTTTTTTTTTGTGAAGGAATTCATGAAACAGATTACTTTTAATCGCTTCATCTTATTTTATTTAACTTTGGTATGAAAGACTGTCGATTTTGTATGTCACTTTTGTAAAGCATAAATAAAATATTTAACATTAATTGTTGGTCATGGCAGTGGCTTCTTTCAGAATTTGATAATTGGTTCTGAAGTGCAAAGGAGGTCTTGGGAGAAGCGTTTTGCACTACGTGTAGTGCAGGAAAATGCAAAGAATCGGTTTATGCATGGATACACTTTACCTGCTAGTGACTTTGGTGTGGGTGTGTTAAAATAAGTCACCGTATTGACAGGTCTTCATGAAGTTAGACAATTTCATTCAGAGTTTTACAGCAAAAAATCCAGTTTGTAATAGACTTGTTTTCTGTCTCTTTTTTTTTTTTTTGTAACCTCCCGCTTTTTCCTCTTTTCTCTTTTCTTTTTTTCTTTTTTTTTTTTTTTTCCCCTCCAGAAGATCTCCGCAAGAAAAGTCCAAGCTGCTTTGCTCCCTCCTTAAAGGGAAATGCCACGCGGGTTTGACATGTGGTGTCAGGTAGGAGCCTACCTCCCTGCTGAAGTGACAGGATTGCCCGTTGGGGTGACAGCACTGGTGCACTGATCTTGCTGCTACAACAGAGGGACTGTGGTGCCTCTGTCATGTTTTTGCTCTGGAAGTGCCCCTGCCTCACTGTGGGCTCTCTTTCTTCCCGGATAGGGTTCTGCTGCACAGCCTTTCTACAATACTGAAAGGCCCTAGTTCAGATCATTGACTACACGAGAAGAACAGGGAGTGGTGATGCTTCCATGTCTCTGTAGATGCCATGTGAAGGGTGTTATCCCAACACGACCACTGAATACCTTAGGACTCAGTTTTAATCCCAGTGAATTTGAGACTCAAGCTAATTTGGAGGAATCACATAAGGCCATTCCTCATATGGAATATAGGCTTTCCCCTGTGCCAGAACCTGTCTTCTCTCAGATTGCCTGCAGTCTTTACTGAAGATCCTGAGGCATCTCTGCTGTCATCTGGCCACTCAGGTAAGGGTTTGTCTGATTGTGCTATGGCTGGCTGAACTGTTATGTCTTCTGTGATGTACATAGACTTTACATTGGACTGTATTTTCCTGATTGTCATTTAATGGGGATAAAGCCCTGTAAAACACCTGAGATACCCTGTTCTAACGGATCACCAATAATGATTTTATCCCAGTGATCTTCCTTGGTCTCCATGGTCAGTAGACAAAATAACTTCCTGCCTTCCCAACCTGGGTAGCTCATTGCGCATCTGGCAGATGAGAGACAAGCACAGTCTGGAGATGAGGGCAGTGACTTGTGTCAAGCCTTCTGGCTGAGTGATCATCATCGTCACAGGCAGGTGCCGATGAACACACAGTGATCAATCAACAAGTCAGATGAGGGAGAGAATGCTCCTTCGGTACCCAAGTGGTGTATCTTACGAACCCAGTACATCTTTGTGGTGTTTGCTTGTTCGAAGTCTTGAGCAAAATAGTGGATGAACCATGTAGTTGTCACCTGATGAATGAGGAAGTACAGAAATACAGAGCGGCACGTGGAGCCATCTTCCAGGACTGGAATTATGTTAAGGTCTGCCTGTTTCAGCCATCGTCAGGGACTGCTAACACTTGTGATACAGATCTGGTTTGTCTTCAGGATGCATGGTTCTACTACCTTGGTCAAGAAAGCTGCTCTCTGCCTCCTGATAACTCCTCCTGGCCAAGATGGGACAGGATTTGGCAACATTGATGCTTGTAGCTGTCGCTTCTTGTTCCAGGACCACCTGCTTTACTCTCTACAAGAGTTCTGAAGTGCTGTTCTCTGTCATTTTTGTTCCAAGCTCTGATTGCCTACAAAATCATAGTTCTCTCCACTTCGTTATGTGGTCAGAGCTTGGGACAAAAATGACAGGTCTCGGTCTCCATTCGGTGCCTTTTAGGACTAGAATGTGCTATTGAGAGATTTTGCTTGTTTAAAAGAAGAGATTTCACAAGAGGAATGCAGGTGGCTGAGGTTTGCTACCTGGGGCATGAGTAAGTGAGTTTGCTCTGATGCTTCTTTCCTTGGCATCCTAGGTTGGCTAGTGTGGCACTCCATCTCCAGGTGAGATTATCCAATAACCGTAACTGGCATCCCTGCAGATGGAATTTTGTTCTGGGTTTTGGACAACTTGGCAACGTTTTTCCCTTCTCCTCTACCTCTCACCATGTCTTAAACTCTTCCCTATGGCTTTTAAAAGAACTGATGTCTACGTTTTCCATGACAAGTACAGGGCAGAGCGGAGTTTTTCACCTTTAGAAAGGGAAGATTCAGTCTGCTGTCGTAGATTCTTCCCCCACTCTGCAGTGTGCTATGCACTTTGGAGAGAGGTTTACCCTGCAGACCCACCTAAAGTTCCTAACTTCATCTCATCCAAAAGACCAGTGTGCCTTGATTCTCTCCCAGGTAGTATGCTGGATGGTAGGCAGGCTTCCTCTGTCTGTATTAGTGGGATGTATTACCAGGCTCCTCGAGGCAGGCTTCCCGGTGTTCAGGTGCGAGGTGTAAGGGAATAAGGGTTTTGATGCAGACTTTGGCAGAGTTACCATCTGTAACCAACTGTTGCAGAGGTGCAGAAGGATGGGGGCGGTGGTATCAATTCTCTGCATTGACTCCAGTCAATGTCACTGGAGTTCAAGTAGCAATTACAGACTATCTGCAGGGTTGTCTGTTTTCCAGCTCTGCAGAGCTGATGGCTGGATTTTAGGTAACACTTTCAGCAAGTGTTTAAGATGAGTGCCGTGGAGTTTCAGGAGTGGTTATTTCACTGGCAGGAATGGTAATTTCACTGACAGGTTTGAACTCTGACCCCAAATACCTTTATGGGGAGTACAGCCTAGAATCTGCCACAGGGTGTGCATGAGCATTCAAGAGAAACAGTGCTGTTTACCTGTCGTGTTTTCAGAATGTATTATTCCATGTACTGTCTCTTCCCCAGTGGAATTTCCTGCATTGATACTCCTCACTCTCCTTTTTAATAGCCATTGCTCCCCCTTTGTTTTGTGCCTTTTTATTGTCTGGAAGATAGTAACTTCTTTCACTTACACTCATCTGAAGTTTCTTTTGCTTTCTCTGAGTTCTCTTGCTGCTCATTCACACGTACAGTTCCCCCCAGGGCTTGTACCTCTGCATATTATAATCTGTCATTGTCTCTGGTGTCTTTGCAGCCAACTTAGATCTCTGCAACATCCGATCGCCATATGCAACCTTGCCTAAGTGTGAAAGGAAGAGCTGCAGTGTGTTAGCAGGCTTCCCCTAAGGAACCATTAGGAATGCGTGAAAGAAGGAGAAAAGGAATAGAAAGGGCAGAAGCAAAGCAGGTAAAACTCTTTTTGATAGTCTTAGTTAAAAGCACTTTGAAAACCAGATTATCTTCACAAATTTATGGCTCAGTAAGTTGCCACCCTAGTTATTTACTACAGGGAAGAAAACAGACCAAGGATCTAAATAAGCAAGTGTTTAAGATAGTGACCATGAAGGAAGGGAGATGAAAGGATGTTGTGGTTTAACCCTAAAACCAGCACAAATGATCAGACCAGGTTGAAAGAGGTACTATCTTCATGATATAAAAAATAATTAAATTTAGGTAATTTAAAAAGAGATTATAATTTTTTGAACCATTTTGTCCCCCCAATGCTTCATTTCTTCAGGTGGATAGATGTTGCTTCTAGATACTGTTTTAGTAGCTAGTACCTGCCTTCAGGGGCAGTGGAGCTGCTGATCTGTGTAGCACACACGCAGCCCATCGTGCTGAGTGACAGAGCTGGGAATACCTGTGTCTGACAGTGAATTACTTATTGCACATAGAGGAAAGGAATAACTGGGAGCCAAAGCATGGAACTTGGAACTGATCAAAACGTGAATCTCTTGGCTCTCCATTTACTGCTGCTCACAAAACTTGTTAATCCAGAGTTCTCGTCATAGAGTAAGTATGCTCCCAGTCCATGAGAGTAGCGGGATAGTTCTGTGATAGTTACAGTGTCCACAAATGCATAATTTTTGGGAGACTTGTTCCATCTATATTTCAGAGTAATCTATTTTCATGGAGCAAGGGATAATACTCCTTGCAACAGCTTGCTTTTGCACACTGAATTGCTCCAGCTTTCACACAAGCAATGCTGTGAGACCAGGGAAAGCCAGTTTACAGCAGTGACAGTACCTGCCAGGCGGGGATAACCCCTCCACTACAGCAATAGTGTGCACTCATCACTCACCTAGCCCAGGCATCATCTACTCTGCAGTTTATATCCATTGTGGAAACTGCCAGCCATGTAAGTAACTTTGACCTTCAAGTATAGCTGGTGCAATTCCAACACTGGTGTTTCCACAGGCTTTTTTTTCACCCTAGGAATGACAAGCATTCCAGTATCATTATCAAAAATACACAAGGGCACCTTACTTCTACATATGAACTAGTAGAAGATACAGCTGAAATGAAGAAGAGTATTACACCCTCTCCTAGGTGGATAAGTAAGCTTTTTTTAGATATATCTAAAGACTAGATGAATGACTATAATGGATACAACTCACTTTCCCCACCCTCTCCTAGGTGGATAAGTAAGCTTTTTTTAGATAAAGTCTATATGAATGACTATAATGGATACAACTCACTTTCCCCTCCTTTGCCTAATTAGAAAGGCTTTTTTTCAGTGAGTTCACAGGCATGAAGCATCTAAACTTTAAGAATTGTATTGAGCATGTTCTGATCTCACTGGTAATTAATAGCTCAAGTGGTTAATAATGGTATAGTTAAAATACCCTAGTAGTAGTCCATTCTAGAATACTTTTTTCAAGGAAAATAAGCAGCAATGATTTCACTGTCAAATGAAGACACACTTACTTCAAAGTGTAAGGATAATGTAAATGAATTCTCAAAGCAGCTAAGACTAGATGGAAGTTTATCTATAAGACAACTGGCTGCAGTACCCTCCAGGTGTAGGATTATCAGTAACCATTCCCACTGCCTAAAGCTCTGTTGAGAGGCTCCAACAGTACCAATCACTAATAGCAGCACATCACCTTAAAGGACAAAGTGGTTTGTGTACTGAAAACAACAGGAAGAAGTTCATGAATATATTAATTTATTTCATTATGTCAGTTTTAGTTCAATTGAACATCAGAGCAGACAACTTTTTGCTTTGTGAAGATACAGGGAACTTCCAAAACACTATTTCCATCTTCTACAAAGTATGTTTGAAAAAAATAAAAACAGATTATGTTTTCAACCATAATCTGTTGGTGAAGAGACTGCAGTTAGGAACTCAGCCTGGTGCTTTGGTAGAGTTTATGCTTTCAGATGTGATTTTCACTTAGTGTCAATAAAAAAATACAGCTTTAGAAGAACACGTGACTAATTCATGTTATGTCATCACGCTGTTGGGTCGCTGGAGGCATCACTTAGTACAACAGGCATTTCTGAAGATCTCATTCCATTCAGACAATATTAGACTCCAAGCTAGGTCTAGACCACCCAAGTCCTGTCTCTAGACAAAATATATTACCCAAAATTTGAAGTATAATATATACACAGGTTCCAATACAAATGTTGGAGGAATTTTTATATAAAATATAACTGTGATGTAGTGGACACTTTCTAAATTAGTGCATCCTCATCTCAACCTGCTATGTTACTCATTTTGTTTCCCTAGGAAATATTTTGTTGTCCATTACATCACAATAGCATATTTTTTTAAAAAAAGTTGATTGAGAACAATTGAACTACATTATGATGTTCAGTTTTAGACATATTTCTTGATTTCATCATAAAGTACTAGTACAAAAGCTCCACCCATGCCTCTCAACACATTCGACCAGGCACCTTTGAAGAACGCTTTGGATCCTTCATCTTTAGCTATCTTCTTCCAGCAATCAATTGTGCCCTTGTACATAATGTCAGCTGTAGAAAGAGACATAAAGGTCAGAAGGCTTCAAGTTACACAGCAAAACTCTTCCAACTTTCATATATTTAAACCAACAAGTAAAGTACAGCCAAGAATTTAATTTTCAATTCATGAAAAGTAAATTTAAACTCTCCACATGGAAAACAAACCAACTCAATTCTCAGCCTCTTAAATGAAGATGACAATTAACCAGTGTTTTTCCCATAGCTATTTTTTTTTAAGGATTCCAATAAGATCATTAGTTCTCCAGAAGACAAAAAAATGACCATCATCTCCCACCATATCTCAACAAAGAGGTACTTTCTGCTGCCAGAACACCACAGAAGCACTTGTTCTTACCTCCCTTTCGGCCAGACTGCATCATCATCCTACGTCGCACAGTATCAAAAGGGTAAGAAACCAACCCTGCTACTGCAGTGACAGTCTGGGCAATCATCCAGCTCACTACGATATGCACATTCTTTGGATCAGGCAACATACCTGTCATCAAGAACAAATGAGCAGAGTCAGTACAGAGGGAAGAGGTTGTGGGAAAGATGACTGTGGAAGGAATGATCACCCACTGACCCCTGGACTCAAGTCCACTCAATCAAGCTTGCAAATTCTCCCTTCATCCACATTTGACTATCAGCAGTTGAATCAAGCTTATAGGACTGTAGGATTTGGGGATCTAAACCCTCTTCATGCGCCCTGACCGAAAGGTCTCTCCTGCAGAACCCTCTCAGGTTTGTGTCATGAGCTACAAGGAGTAACAAGCTACCGTACTAGCCTTAAGACAGAGGAGCTGGAAAGTGCCTGAAAACACACTGCACGCTCAAGGCTTCCGCTCACAGCAGTGAATCGATGCTGGAATGCATTTTAGAAACACCTGCACATGTTCTAGTACCAGCACCCTGAACTGGTGCTGAGCCAAGCCCTGCTTGTCCTTGTACCGCCAAGCGTCCCAGCATGCCTTTACTGGCTGGATCTTCCCTTGCGGTCACTTCTCCATGCACTTCTTACCCTTGGCTGTGTCGTAAACCCCGAAATAGGCTGCTCTGTAGATGATGATGCCCTGGACTGACACACTGAATCCTTGGTAGAGGCCCTTCAACCCATCAGACTTGAAGATCTTGACGATGCAGTCGCCCAGCCCAGTGAATTCCCTCTCGCTGGCTCCTTTGCCCACATCAGCTGCCAGCCGGGTCCTGGCAAAATCCAGCGGGTAGACGAAGCAGAGGGAGGTGGCTCCCGCGGCTCCTCCGGATGCCAGGTTCCCCGCAAAGTAGCGCCAGAACTGCTTGTGCCTGTCCACTCCCCCCAGGAAGATCTGCTTGTACTTGTCCTTGAAGGCGAAGTTGAGGGCTTGGGTGGGGAAGTACCGGATGACATTGGCCAGGTTGCCTCTCCAGAAGGAGATGATGCCTTGCTCCTTGGGGATGCGGACTATGCAGTCGATGATGCCCTTGTACTGCTTCTCGGCCGTGATCTGCTTGCTGGCATGCTGGACCTGTACGGGGGAGAACGAGGAGGGATGGGAGGGTTGCGAAAGGGCCACGGCAGGGGTGACCCCGCTGA